AAAGGGAAAATCAACGAAAAAGAAGGAATCAGAAATCCCAATGAAACAAGAGTATCGGCAAAGCCAGCTCATACCAACAACATCCAACAAGGAGTCAAAACTCCATTCCCTCAGGGGGCAAACCAAAATTAGATCCCCGGGAAGGCAATCAATTCCCCGATGGATCACCAAAAAAGAGAAAGATCATCCCTAGTGAGCCTACTGCAAAGGAAAAACTTCAGATTCATCCTCAGAATGTCATTTGCATACACATAGGTAAGACCTGGCAAGCAAGAGCCAGCATCCCCATAGGGAATATCAGCCTAGTCAGAGGCAAAACAAATGCAGCCAAGAGTCTTCACTACCGATAGAGCATCTGCCTACTCAGAGGCATTACCAAAAACTCAATGGAGTACCTGCCTGCCCAGAGGCACCATCAAATCTGCAAATCTTCAATGGATATCCGCCTACTTAAGAGGCGTCCCCAAGATTAACAAATCCCTAGAGGATTCCTGCCTACCTAAGAGGCACTCATAAAAATCCCCGACAACCAGCAAAGTCGGATGACAAATACCAAAAGTCAAAAACAAAGAATCCCCAGCAACCAACAAAAGCTGGATGAAGCACCAACAAAATCCCTGCGCGGCCGGATGACCATTCAAGAAATCTATATACAATCTACCAAACACGAGAGAACACTCCCCGAGAGCACCGGTGCATGAGCTACCCGAGCAGTAAGCCGCCACCACCACCAGTCCTACGCAACGGACTGTACCAGCCTGATAGGGGGTTTATACCTATCAACCAGCACACAAGAAGCGCCTAACCGGTGCATGGGCCACCTGAACTGTAAGCCGCCATTACCACCCTGATGGGGGGTTCATACCCATCCGGTCCCACACAACGGACCGTACCACCGTGATGGGGGGTTCATACCCATCCGGTCCCACACAACGGACCGTACCAGCTTGATGGGGGGTTCATACCCATCCAGTCCCACACAACGGACTGCAACTACCAGCCTGATGGGGGGTTTATACTCATCAACCAAAGGATCGGCTACGTCAGGAGTAGTATCCGGAGGTTCTACCACGTGTCAACCAAAGGGATCGGCTACATCAGGAGTAGTATCCTGGAGGCACACAACACAACATCTCCCCAGAGGATCATCCGCCACAAGACGGCAGTCCGAAGGGTAGCCGGGCAAGAGGGTCAACTCCTTTACCTTCCTGTCAATCTGTTTGGCACAACAGACCAACAGTTGACTAGTCAGGTAAAGGGGGGGGGCAGCTGTAGACCCCAAATCTTGCCCGGCCTCCAAATAAAGTCAGAAAGCTTCCTATTTGAAGACGGTCGAAGCCTAACAAGCCATTAGGAGAGACTATTAGGCCCCCGTACCAGGATAGGAAGGTTTTTTGGCTCGAAAATAAAGTTTCTCGCCCTGAAGGGACGAGACCGCCGTCTGGAAATACCAGACCGCCGTCTCGTCTCAAGCGCCAGGACGAGACCGCCGTCTCGTCTCAAGCGCCAGGACGAGACCGCCGTCTCGTCTCAAGCGCCAGGACGAGACCGCCGTCTCGATTGGCCAGACGGCGGTCTCGTCACCCGCAAATTCGAGACGGCGGTCTGGGTTTTCCAGACGGCGGTCTCGATTCCTGCCAAGTCGAGACGGCGGTCTCGACCCGCTGCCATGAACGAGACGGCGGTCTGGACTTTCCAGACGGCGGTCTCGACCCTGTCAGCGGAGACGGCGGTCTCGACCTGTTAGGCACGAAAAACTATAAATAGGGGCGTCATTCCTCCCTTTTTCCACACCCAGCAGCAAGAGCTCTCCCTTCTCTCTAGAATTTCTCTCTCTAAGAATCCCTCCGAGGCATTTCCGGAGTTTCTGAGAGTTGTAGAGTGAAGGGTTGCCAAAACGCACCCTCTCTTTTGAATATAAAAGCTTGCTTTGGAGGTGCATATCCTCACTCTCTACTTTTTTACTGCTATTTAAATTACGCAATAGAAACTAGGGCCATGTAGTCATAAACTTAAATACTGCATAATAAAAGGGTAAAAGCGCAATTTTCTAGTGTAATTATTTATTCAAAGTAGCCGGCCTATCATAGGGAACCCGAAAGGGGCGTCGTAAAGGGACTGATACTCCCTTTACACGTAACTAACTCCCTTACCCAACTCTGGTTCTAATGACCAAAGTTGGTTTTCGAAAACCAACGCCTTTTTAAACCCCTTTTCCGATGTTTATGGTAAAAATATCGGTGGCGACTCCATAGAACCCAAAATAAATAAGTCCTTGGGTTAGCCCGGTTATCGGACAACTCAAGGACACTTTTCGAAAACCTCGTTTCTAGGTTAGCCCGGTTATCGGACAGCCTAAAGACGTTGTAACAACCAATAAAAAACGCGAAAAACAAGAGGGTCGAAAAAACCATCGCGTCGCTCCGACCGCCCTCTCTTTGGGAGGCGGCGACAGTCAAAGACAAACTTAAAGTGTTTTTGACTGGAGTGTCAGTACATAATAAACTTTAAGTTCATTATATAATTACTATTGCCAACTTGATAGCTTATTCTATATGATGTGAAACTTTTCAAGATGTATTATCTTCATCAACCTAATATAAATTTAGGTCATTCTTTTCGAGGACACATATTACATGTATTCAATATTTAGGTTTCTTTCCGATCATGAATGTTAAGAATCCATATTATGTAAGGAGACATTGCTTTTGCTAATTTGAAGTGAAAGGTGATATAAAATCGATCTATTTCTGGCATCATATCCATTGTTAGCATATTCATCGTATCCATTGTACAATTAAAATTTAGGGATTTGAAGATTAGAAAATGTAAAAATAGATTTGAAACAAAAATCAAGAAACAAACCGAAATCAAGAAAATAGAAATGATTCAATCCATGGTTTCAAGCATAATATAGTCTTCTTGTCATAGTTCTTAAAAGATTTCAATCTATGTTTGAACAACTAACCGATTTAATTAATCAACAAAATCAGTTATACGAATTAAATCAAATTATCACTCAATCTAATCTATATTCAATCATCAAATCAAGATTCAATTGATTCCTAATTCTAAAATAAGAAACACACATTGTAATCATAAAGAGCAAAACCAATATTAGAGAAGAAAAGGACAAACTTGGAGCAAGACATGATCAGTGCAAAACTCAATTCGACTTATTTGATCTTGATATCGTGAATTGATCTTAAAGATCTGGTTCTTAATGGATGAAGAACACAACTAGATTTGGAGAAGAGAAGAGGAAGAGTCAAAACAAAAATGAGAGAAAAGAGAGAAAATAGTAGAGACACTTCCTAAACCGAAAATTTAATAAAATGATTTATGGATATAAATTTACAGCATATTTAGACTATTTAAAGCCTCTAATAGGTATTAATAAAGATGTTATAAATAATTAGTTTGAATATAATTTGTTGAGAACGGATAATGATTGGGATCAAACTAATAAAACGAGAAAAATAATTGTTTATAGTTATTTGTAGATGTAACAAGTTGGTTTCATTTGAAATTTTATATCCACAAAATCCTTCTTTATAAATTGCATTTATTAGTAAAATTGTACTTCAAAGTCATTTTTATTTATGATTTTTTTAAGGTGATTAATATATTACATGTTAATTAATAAATCAATAAATTGAAAAGATATAGGGACACTTCCTAAACTGAAAGTCTAATAAAAGGATTTCTGGATATGAATTTAGATCACATTTAAGCTATTTATATTCTCTTAATTCTAAAATAAACATGGACATGAATGTGACCTCTAATTAAGTTCATAAGTCCAATTACAAGTTTTAATCTAATAAAAAGAAAATCCAATTTGCACGAGCTACTTTTCAAAATTATAACAAATTTGTCTGAAATTATAAAAATCATTGAAAATAATAGCAAACTCCAAATCCAGCCAATGATATATCTATTTCAAAACCCTGCAAACGTAGAATCCAATGCAAGTTGAGTAAGATAAGAATAATATCTAAAAAAATAAAAGTTATGACCAAAACAACGAACAAAGATTAGATGAGCTGAAAATGCAAATAGTAAAACAATAATGCACATTGAACCAACTTTATTACTATCGAAAGAAAATGAATTTAAAATAAAAAAAAAAAGAAGAAGAAAGGGAATGAAAAATGCATCCACTGTATAATAAATTTATAAATGTGTACAAATTATTTACAATTACTTATATTAATTAGTTCTATTACTTTTAATCATCAATACTTTGAAACGTTGTCTTGATTCTCATTATGGTTATCATGATTCTAAGTACTACAAATAAATATACTAGATACTATAATTATGATTGTAAAAAGTCTAAAAAGATGGATGCTGTGAATGGTATTGGGTTTTTAAAAATCCTTTCATCAAGTTTAGGAACTAATAACTTGAAATTAATATTTTTTAGGAGATATACTTTTCTTTTCTTTTATTTTATTGGATCAAGATGCAACATGACCCAAGATTTGGTTCCTATAGTTGTTTGATTAGTTAATTACGCAAATAATTAAATGAAACTCACCACACTTTCTTCGTGGATAAGGAAGTATACATCGATAGCCATAAATAATATTATTTACAAAAACAGTGCGCGAATTTTTCCTAAATTCTTTTTTTCAAGAATATCAAATGTATAAAAGAACAATCAATTATATTTATAAGTAACTTATGAAAATATAAATATGTAAGATGTTGGTTAAGATTAGGTAGTGTTCAAGTAAACAAAGAAACATAATTTGAATAAAAGGAGTAGTACACTTTTAAAGAATAAAACATTTGAATAACAAATAAGAAAAAAAACGAAAGAAAAATGTCATCGTTATTTAATTTTTTCTCTCTTTTGGACCACCGACATATAAAATAAAAATCAACTTCACATGTAAAATACGTTGAATGAAAAATAAATTTTTTATTTATGTTGTCATGAATCAACTATTACAAAATAAGATTATGTAATTGGTGAAGAAATACAAATAATTTTAATATTGTTGTGGTAGCTCTTCCGCCAAATAGATGTAAAAATGTCCCATAACACCTGTACGGAACTCGTTTTTATACCTAGATTCTACAGTCAAAATTTCTCCATCATGAACCTTGATAGAACCCGGTTGTGGATAACAAACAGACATTCCAACGACATAATGTTTCTCGTTTCCTGGCTCATCTCCTGTTCCATATTTTGGTGTTGAAGTACATAAAGTCTCTCCATTCTAAATGATAAAAATAAAATTAAGAATGTATTAAAATTATGACCTCTTGCAATATCATAAAATTAGAAAATCTGTTACATAAAAAGCTTGAGGAAAAAATGTTTTAAAAATCGATATAACCAATCACCAAAAAATATTTATAATTAAAGGAAAACATTATTCATCACCTGTCGATATAAGGTTGCATTCACAACACCTGAATGCATATGAGTAGTACCATAAATGAGATAACCTCCTTTTTTCATTGGGATGTTTGCCTTTTGGACATGAAGAGAGTCGTCACCACCATTTGTTGGAATGGTATACTCTGCCTGCATATAATTGATTTGTTTTGTTAACTCAATCTAATGGATATTATAAAAATTATTTTTCTCCCAAAATAATATCTCTTTAATAACATATACCTGACAATCATGAATTATTTGAGAACCATTTGATCTAACTCTGTCAGTGGAATCAAGTATGTAAACCTTAACCGGAACTTGGTGTTTGTTCCAATGAACCCAACTTATTTTGTATCTTAAAGAAACCTTTCTTTTTGAACCTTGAAAACCATCTCTTTGTTTGCATTGTAAGTTATCTTGACAACAAAAGATTCCTCCTTTATAGTTTGTAGTCAATGGTTGGTTATGCACATCCAATGTAACATTATAAAAGTCTTTTGGAAGATTCATAAGGTCACATCTACATTCAGTGCAACCTTTCTTATCTTGCGCACCACGTGTATCAATCGCCATGACGTTGAGCAACCATTTCTCTTTATATCCCTTTGGAATGTTTATACGGTTACCTTGTTCTATTGCAAAAGGATCGGGAATATGTGAGGTTGTTCCCCGTGATTCAACTCCAAATCCCCAATAGTGTGGAAGAATATTTTCATTACACATGCCTTCATTTCTTTCCATTGCAAAATCATCGGTACGACGGAGCTTAGGATCATGTGACATAGTAATATTTTCAATATATTTTATTGCAAACCAATGATGAAGGTAAGTTTCATATAAAGGTATTGAGTTTCCTTCTTCGTCAACTAGTTCGGCATCAAAACTCTTAACTCCAACATGACCTTCTGGAAACTCTATATTTAAAAATGTTTTTGCTGCGATAGATCCTGGTCCCATTTCAAAACTTTCAGATAGAAAAGTAGCCGTCTTTATACGATTTTTAGGATTTTGATGTAGTGAATATGATGTGTTTGGTAGCAACAATAATATTGAGAGTGAAAATATAATTGTTGTAGAAAGAAATTTCATGTCAACCTGTACATAAATAAACAATATTACATAGTTAGTCATTAATTAGGTTTATGATATTATGAATTATATCTAATTCAAGTACAATTAAAAAAACAATAGAAACAATATGAAAATTTACCTCATGAGAAGAAGGCAAAAGATTAGCCATGATGGTGATTCAGTCTTTGTTGAAGATCAAAGCAACAAGTAAATTGGTGTGAAAATGAAGGTCATGTTTAGTTATTTTATAATAGAATATTTTTGTACCAACGTAATTGGCATAACTAAAGATAGATTTAACACGTCTTTATACAAATGTTTGTTTCAATTAGAGCCTGTAATAGGTTGGTTATTTGTTGAGAAGGTATAATGACTAGGATCAAACTAATAAAAAGAGAAAAACAATTGTTTAGAGTTATTTGTAGATGTAACAAGTTGATTTCACTTGAAATTTTATATCCACAAAATCTTTCTTTATAAATTGCATTTATTAGTAAAATTGTACTTCAAAGTCATTTTTATTTGTGACTTTTTTTTTAAGGTGATTAATATATTACATGTTAATTAATAAATCAATAAACTGAAAAGATGTAGTGACACTTCCTAAACTGAAAATCTAATAAAATGATTTTTGGATATGAATTTAGAGCACATTTAAACTATTTATATTATTTCAATTCTAAAGTAAACATGGACATGAATGTGGCCTCTAATTAGGTTCATAAGCCCAATTACAAGTTTTAATCTAATAAAAAGAAAATCCAATTCGCATGAGTTGTTGTAGACCCCAAATCTTGTTCGACCTTATAATAAAGAGTAAAAGACTTCCATTCGAAGATGGACAAGGCCTCAAAAGGCCCCTAGGGATGCTTACTAGGTTCCATGTTAGAATAGGAAAGCTTTCTGTACACAAAAATAAGAGAATTCTGCCCAGAAGCACGAGACAGTCGTCCCGCTTGGCCAGACAGCCGTCTCGCCATTTATAAAACAAAACCGCCATCTCGCCACTTGGCGAGATGGCCGTCTCGACCTTTAATGTGGCGAGACGACCGTTTCGCCTGACAAAGGTTGAGACGACCTTCTCGATCTGACAGACACGAATTTCTATAAATAGGAGCCTCATTTCACCCATTTTCACACACTCTCACACCCTTCTCTCTACCTAGAAGGCATTCTAAGACCTCTGGGTGACTCTGATTATTATTCCAGAGTCTGAGTGATTTTTTAGACACTCAAGAGTAGAAGTTTTATTTTTGGGTCAAGGGAGGAACGTCCTTGTAGAGCGAGGAGATTGTCATAAAGCATCATCAAGTTTGAAGAATTTATAAAAAGCTCGCTACGAAGATTCTTTTCTATATTCTCTCTTTTATCTCTTTCTTTTACTGCTTTCCTTTGTACGCATTAGATATTAAGGTCATGTAGATATTTAATTATTGCAAGTAGATAAATAAATAGGGTAGAAGCATGATTTAAATGTCTTTATTTTAAAGAATAGTCCATCATATGGAACCCGAAAGGGGCATTGTGGGGGTGCTAATACCTTCCCCACACGTAACTAACTCCCTTACCCAACTCTGGTTATAATGACCAAAATTGATTTTTTCTTAAAATCAACGCCTTTTTCTTTCCTTTTTCGATGTTTAAGGTAAAAACATAGGTGGCGACTCCATAGAACCCTTTACGAAAGCCTCATTCTTAAGGTTAATCTAATTATCGGGTATCTTAAGAATGTTGACCACATAATTTTACAAAAACACAGGAGTTCAGTCATCCATCGCAACCGTTCGCAAAAAATCAAAATCCTTGCGCCTATCGGTGCGGGGGTACGGCGACGACCGCATATTTTTGATGGCGGTGATAGATGACGACTTCACTAGGGAAACTAGAGAGTTGATCCCATTTAGTAATGGACTAGTCTAATAAATAAAAACTCGAAATTATGTTTTTACCCTTCCTTGCTTTTATAACATGTTTTATTGCTTGACTTTAATAACTGTTGTATGTTTATTTTCTGCAAATTGTTTGAAATAACAAACTGTACACAAACATTTCCACACAACAGTCCCTCTATACCCGGGGGTATGAGTGGAAAACCTTAGGGAGTGGGTGGCAGGTACGACCGACCGTGGAAATGACTCGTGTTGTCAGCAGGTCATTGTCGGAAACAACCACTCAAGGTGATAACCTTCCTCTTTTGGCTTAAAGACTGACAAGACCCTAGTGCCATGCATGGTCTGAGGGCTGAGAGAGTGGGAACCCTATAATGGGGGCACCTTAGGAGCCTGACTTCGGTGAGGATAATTAAAACCACCTCGAATATGCACCTTTCTGTAGGATACCCCTACCTCGTAATTAAACGACATCGCTCTGTTTGCGAATGAGTGAATTGTATGTGCATTTATTTGTTGTATTTTGTTTGTTGCATTGCATAATCATACAACAACAAAAATAAATAAAAAATTCTTAAAACAAAACAAAAACAACAATTTTTTTAAAATAATCTTATATTAAAACCTTTTTGCAATAAACGACTTTATCTCGGACAGTCTTCATTTAAGCTAGTCTGGTTTCAAGTTCTTTGTAAGCTAAGTAGTCATGTTGACCAACAGAAGAGATAAAGGGTAAAAAATAATAACAATAAAAAAAAGCAACAATCACAAAAACATAATACAACAATTTTGATAAAAGCAAAACATTCATTTCAAAATAAAAATAAAATGATAAAACAATTTTGACAAAACATTCAAATAATAATATAATAAAAAGATTTTTTACAAAGTCGTATCATTCATACCGCATCATTTCATAAAGTGGTAAAACCAAGAGAGAAAATAAATGCATGCATAAACATCATTTTAATAAAAATCTCTCATGCATAAATGCATTCATGCTAGGGAACACTAGATATCCTTAAGACAAGGGAAAAAGAGACCCAAGTGCATTTGTGACCTTCGCGACAAGGAAGGGACAAGTGTACTAAGGTGTGATGGTGACCTCTATTATACTTGTCAAATCTGTGATGGGGAAGGAACTATTACACCAAGGTGGGTATGATATCCCACAAAGCGTAAGCTTTAAGGAGGATACCTAAGTCATATCCATCACATAAATCATTCATTTTAAACAATAAAATTATTTTTTTATTCTAGAAAGCGGCTGGTATTCTTCATGCCTTCATCCGCATACAAAAAAACATAAAATCCCAAACACTATCATACATCATGTTAGAAAATAAAACATGATAATGTTTGGTTACCACAATTTCAGTTACAATCAACATTAAGTAGTTTTTCATTCCTAGGTTAATGGATCATTATTGTCATTTATTTGCCTTCATTAAGTAGTTTTCAATTCTTAGATTAGTGGATCATTATTAACATTTATTTTCCTCTATTGAGTCTTTGTAAATCTGATGGTAAAGCTTCTATATAAGTTGAACCATTTTTATCAGAATAACAAGTTGAGTTTTATTTAAAAATATTAGAGTTTAGCTCTTTTATCTTGATAAGAGTGATTCTCCTAAATTTTTGAGTGATTTAAGAATATTTGGTTGTATTAAAAGACTTTCACATCCTTTGTGAGTTGTCTCCCTTGGGAAGAGTGATTCTTTCTTTCAACCTTTCACATTCACCTCTTGTTCTTTATTCACGAGAATCTAAAAAAATTCAATTCTGCCCAGATTTATTTCATGGTCATAACTTTCGTTCTACTCATCCAAATTGAATATTTTTTATCCCAAAATGAAATTCAGAATCAAAACTTTTACCTCGTTTTTTAATCACCCCAATCAAAGTGTTATAGCTTGATATATCGATGTTTCAAAAATGTTGCCCAACCTTGAAACTTTCACCACTTTCTAATCCACCTTCTCACTAATTTTCTAAATTTCTTACAAAGTTCTAAACCTAAAGATCCTAAGTCAGCCCTTGTATAGATTGAGTTCATATCATTTGGTATTCAGAGCTCCGATTTAAGGGTTTGAACGTCAAATTGGTAATATCTTTCCTTCATTCTCTATTTACCAAGTGATTACCTTATTTTGTTCATATTATTTGTGATTATGCTGAATCATTGCAATATATATATATATATATATATATATATATATATATATATATATATATATATATATATATATATAGGCCCTTGTGAAAATTAAAAAAAAATTAAAGTTACAACATTTTATAATTTGTTTGAAAGTGATAAAAAAAATTTTTTAGGCAGAATGATTCATGCTTTTGAACAATTTGTTATAAGGTAATATATTGGTGATCTTGAAGGATTGTTTGTAACATCCCGATTCTCAATACCCCTGGTTTGTTAAATTTTGACAAAATCTTTGTCAAAATTTTAATAATTAAATTATTAGGAATTGGGTAAAGTAACTTTAGAGTTTTATGTTTGTTAGATTAATTGTGATTTTCAAGAATTTTTCTGGAATTTTTAGAAAATACTTAAAATTGACCCGTTTTGCTGGCGACTAGGTGCTTAGGATAGTAATTATATGATCTAAAGTAGAAATTGAAAGTGAGAGAAGTAATTAAATTAAATTAAGAATTTAATAATATTGTAGAGATGAGGATGTGATCATTTGGTTAGACCCTTGTCATAAGATTAGAGGATCATGAGTTCAATTTTTGTATGTGCATTAGAATAATTATAATTTTTCTATTATTTTATAATTGTTAGAAAATACTCGTGTGTGTGCTCGAACGTTGAGTATGGACTTAACAATTTTAATTGTCACATTTAGAAATTATTGTTTTCTTTTATGCATTGAGTGTGGGTACATTAAAAGTTTATTATGTGTATAAGTTGACAAGAAACATATAATGATTGATATGGTTTGGAGTGATGTTGGAGTCCTAGGAGTTGTGGCTTCAAATCTTGACTAGAGTAAAAAGGAGAAAATAATGGATAAAATTTTTGTAATATAATTCGCTGAGCGGATTGTGGTTCGAAATATCTCTATTACTTGCGGCCTCATATCTGCTGGGCGTAGTAGGTTCCTCGTTTCTCTCTTTCTCTCAAAATTTTCCTTACTTTCAAGTTTGATTTTAACGGGAAAATCTTGTTGAGAAGCTCCAAGAGGTAAGTTGGTTTATCTCAATCTCTTCTACATTTTTACCGTTTTATTTTTCAAAACGGTGCATTTTCTATTTTTCTCCT